CTTGTACAGTAGTTTGGGTACAAACCAATATTAAAGTGAACTCCTGGCCAGGTGTGGTGGCTCACGCCTGTAATCCCAGCACTATGGGAGGCTGAGGCAGGTGGATCACGGGATCGGGAGTTCAAGACCAGCCTCGCCAAGATGGTGAAACCACGTCTCTACTAAAAATAACAAAAAAATTAGCTGGGCGTGGTGGCGGGTGCCTGTAATCCCAGTTACTCGGGAGGCTGTTTACTCGGGAGGCTGAGGCAGAGAATTGCTTGAACCTGGGAGGCAGAGGTTGCGGTGAGTGGAGATTGCACCACTGTATTCCAGCCTAGGTGACAGAGCGAGACTTTGTCTCAAAAAAAAAAAAAAAAAAAAAAAAAAAAAGGGAACTCGTTTGAGTTTGTCTCATACATTCTACTTTTTATTCCTTCAATATTTCTTTTGCTTTCTGAATCTGCTTTGGTGCATATTCATTCACTTGTTTTTTTCCAGCCCTTCCTCTTGCTCCCAAACTAATCAACTAACTGATGGTGAATGGAAATTTGAAATTAAAGAATTACTTAGTCCTTCCATGTATACCATGCATTCTCCAAATATTTTGTAAACATCTTCGTGGCTGGGCACAGTGGCTCACATCTATTATCCTGGCACCTTGGGAGGACAAGAGTGGCGCATCGCTTGAGCCCAGAGTCTCCAGATATCTCTGCAAAAATTAAAATTAGAATAAATTAGCTGGGTGTGGTAAAGTGCGCCTGTAGTCCTTGCTACTCAGGAGGCTAGCAGTAAGCTGTGATTGTGCCACTGTACTCCATCTAGCTTGGGTAACAGAGTGAGACCCTGCCTCAAATAAATACATAAATAAATAAAATTAAATAAAAATGCCTTCTCTGTGCCAAGTACTGTCCCAGATGCTGGGCATATATTTAGAGAGAGAGAGAGGGAGACAGAGACAGAGAGACAGACAGATACCATCCTTGTCTTTATGGAATTTATAACCTAGCATCATCATTATGGGACATTTTAGGCTTCCGTTAGCAGCCATCCAGCAGCCATCTCACAATTTCATAACCTTCTTAATTTTGTTTGACTTTCACCTCCTTTCCACTTCAGCCATCCTTTCACATAGGCACTTCATAGGCATTTACAATTACACTTGACCTTGTCATCAGTCAGAACTGACATCTTAAACTCTAAAGACTGGCTTGCTACCCACAGCCTCCCATCCTCCCAGCTTTCTCACCCTCATTTTCCAGCCATGCAGGATGGCCAGTTTCTTTTTTCTTTGAGTCTATCAGTCACTTCCGTGTTTCCTTTCTCTTCCTATCCAGTCTAAACAGGATGCTGGCTTACTGCTTGAATGTGTCCCTGGTTAATACCATCACATCCTTTGCATCTTCTTCTGCGGTCATATCCTTTAAGATCTGTACTTTGTACCAATGCAACTTTTTTGCTTTCACGTCAAGGCTTCTGAATACTGCTAGGAAAAAAAGTCACTTGACTTTGTCACAACAAATTTATTGTCTTCATCTTTAGCCAGACTTACAGTGCTTCACCATAAACTTTCTGTATGCTTCCTGTTGTATCTTTCTTTCATTTCCCCTGATTTCATTGCTTTTTCTTCTGGCTTTTAAAAATATGTATTTTTTTTCATAGAAAAATTCAAACATATATAAAAGAGATAATAGTCTCATAAACTTTTATATATCTATTACTTAGCTTACGGCCAATCTTGTTTAATTTAGGGCCTTTATCCCACCCCCAGATTGCTTTCACACAAATCCTCGACACCATATTATTTTATCTGTAAATATTGAGGGCACTTAAAAGATGAGGGCACTTAAAAAATTAACCACAACAGCATTATCTAAACAAAAAAGTTAACAGTAATTTCCTAACACCAGCAGACATGCAGGCAGTTTTCATATTTCCCTAATTGCCTTTTGATTTTTTAAAGTCTGTTTGAATCATGATCCAAATGAAGCACACGTTATTGTGATGCATTGACATATCTGTGAAGTCTCTTTTAAAGTAAAGGTTCCCCCTCCTTTTCTCTTTTTTCTTGCTCTGTGTGTGTGTGTGTGTGTGTGTGTGTGTACACACAGGGTCTCATGACTGCTTTTTTGAAACCATTACTGCATTACTATGACCAACTCTCATTCCTGACAGCTGATCAAGATTTATGGGAAGAGTCCCTTAACTCCCTGCCCTTCTGTCTGTAACCTGATTAACATCTGCATACATCATTCCCTCCTCTGCTGGTCTCCAAGCACAGTGTCTCTTACTCCCATCTAAGGCTAATTCTTCCATCAGTGCCCTGGTTCCCTCCTTACTTAGGGAGTGTGCTTCATTTTTCAATCCTCCCTTTTTGGCATCTTTACCTCTCCCTGACATTTTCCTGTCAGCATATAGACATGTTCAAGGTTCTCTCAACTATATAAACAAACTAACTAACCAAATAACAGTCCCCCAACACTGCCATACACCTACACCCCCAGATTTTCGGGACCGTGTCTCACTCTAATTTTGGTTGCATCTCTCATCTTCCTTTTAAAGCCAAGCTTCTATAAAATTCTCTAAATTCATTTTTTTCTGCTTTCTTAACTTCCATGTACTCCCTAACCCACTGCCTGGCTTTGGTTTCCATCACTTCTCAGAAATAGTGCTTTGCTTTCCAAGCTCCCTAAAAACCTCCTCTGGGCTAAATGCGATGGGCATTGTTTGAGCCTTTATCTCATTTGAAATCTCTGCAGTATTTCGCAGTGTTGGCCATGCCCTGGTTCTTGAAACATTCTCTAGCTTTGGTCTGTCTTGGTTTTTCTCATACCTCTCTGATGGCAACTTCACAATTCTTTTGAGGGTTTTTCTTCCTCTCTCTGTCTTAACTTTCAATATTTTGTTAGTTCTATACCATTTCCCCACATGATTTCATCTATTCCTATGAATGGCTCTGAAGTCTTTCTAGTGAGAACTGGACCTCTGTAACCCACTGCCCACTGGACGAACACTTTAATGTTCCTTGGACAACTCAGACTCAACATAGCTAAAGATGGATCCATGCTCTTCCCACTTAATTTATTCTCCTTCCTGCATTGTCTATCTCTGTGAATGATAGCCCTGTCTACCTAGTTGCTCAAGCCAGAAATTTGGTAATTATCTTTGATGCCTTCCTCTCCCTCCTTGCTATCTTTACTCCCATGTCTAATAAACCACCAAGTGATATTAATCTTAACATTACTCTCTTTTCATGTTCTCCTCCCCAAAGCTCCTCATATTTTACATAGATTGCTACAATGGCCATGACAGGGCATTCTCCCTCCTATCTAGAACCCTTCGATCTTCTTCCCACACTGCTCCCTGAGCAATCAGGTTACCATGCTGCAAGAAACCCTCCAATAGCTTTCCATTCCTCCAGTGAAACAAAGAGGTGTGGGAGTGAATGTATAAAGCTCTGTTGACTTGGTGAAGTCTTACCTCTTCATCTTTGTCAGCCATTCCCCATCTCCTTTCCTGTAATCCAACTCCTTGCATTTCCAAAAAGGGTCTGTTTTCTTGATGCTAAGCCTGTCCGCATGCTGCTTGCTCCAATTTGATTGTTCTTCCTTTCCTTTGTTTAACTCAGCCTTCTAGCTAAGGTCAAAGGGGGGGTCACCTCTACCAGAAATTCTTCTCTAATCCCTGGTCCAAGTTAGGCTCTCTTCTTATCTATCTGCCTTGAAACATCTCTTATCTATCTGCCATAAACATCTCTATGATAGGCCATGCTCACTACTTTACTCTGTCCTTTACCTGTTGATGTAGCTGTGGTCCTGGCCGGTGCTCAGACCCGGCTCCCTAGGTCATGGAATGTCCCAGCTGGAAAGGACTTCCTTTTCGTTTTGCAGATGATGATTTGTTTGTGGTTTACTGCCTCTGAGAAAGGAATCTAAACTTCCTGTTTTAGCAATTGAAAAACTGTTTACTAAGGGCCTGCCTTGGGCAAGGTGCTATGTTAGGCATCTTCAGAGTATATAGAAACCCTTCTCTTAAGTTGCTCAGTGAGGCAGAGGAGATAACATATCTAGTAAGTAAAATGCAACCAGTAAAGAGGTAAACAAGAGAGGTAGAGATAAAATGCTGTGAGACCTCAGAGGAGGGTATGATAAAGGACACTGGGGTCCTCAAAGGGGTTAAGGAAAGTCCTGTGGAGGAGCTGTGTCTTGAACATGGGTGGCAGGGAATAAATTGTAGAAGGGGCATTTGGGGCAGAGAGGCTAGTAAGAGGAAAGGCAGAGGCTAATTGAATTTTAATCAATGGGCGTAATTTGCTATGTATCTGTCTGAGAGTTAGCAGGCCCTTTCATGATTTTTTTTTTTTGTGTGTGTAGCACCAAATTGGAATCTTTTGCTGCTCAAAAAATATTTAGATAGCCTAGATATATTATCCTGTGTCATCATGTTACTTTGTCTGTCTCCTTTTCCCCAGCATTCAGAGGATCAAAAGTTTGTAACATTTATTTATTTATTCAGTAAGCAGTTATTGATCTTCACTAAGGGCTGGGTGTAATGGCATTTGCAAAGATAAATAAGACAAAATCACTGCTTCCAAGAAGTCACAGTGTTGTGAGTGTGGTAAGAGATAGAAAGGTTACAGGATGGTTAAAAAACAAAGTAGGCCAGGTGTGTTGGCTCATGTCTGTAATCCCAGAGCTTTGGGGGGTAGAGGCAGGTGGATTGCTGGAGTCCAGGAGATTGAGACCAGTCTGGGCAATATAGTGAGACCCCATCTCTACAAAAAATAAAAGAATTAGCTGGGTGCAGTGGTGCATGCCTGTAGTCCCAACTACTGGGAAAGCTGAGGCAGAAGCATCACTTGAGCTCAGGAGTTAGAGTCAGCAGCGAGCTATGATCACATCACTGCACCCCAGCCTGGGCAACAGAGCCTGTCTCTAAAGCAACAACAATAACAAGGTAATAAATACTGTCTGTGACACAGGTATGAGCAGGTTGCTATAGGAGCTGAGCCAAGGCAGCCCCTACCTCTGGCCTGGGGGCAAGAGGAACCATTAAAGAAAATGTGAAACCTCTGAAACAGGCAGGGATAAAAAGTGTCCCAGAGATGGTTACACTATGCGAGAAGTAAATGGGAGGTGAGAAAATGGAACCAAGGTGGGTAGCTTTTTGTATTTTCTCAGATTTGCAACTGAGCTTCAGCAATATTTCTACCCTGATCTATGTTATTTTTATTTTATTTTAATTTTTTTTAATTTGAGACAGGGTCTCACTCTATTGCCCAGGCTGCAGTGCAGTGGCACAATCTTGCCTCACTGCAACCTCTGCCTCCCAGGTTCAAGCAATACTCCTGCCTCAGCCCCCCAGATAGCTGGGATTACAGGCATGCACCACCATGCCCGGCTGATTTTTGTATTTTTAGTAGAGATGGGGTTTCACTATGTTGGCCAGATTGGGGTCAAACTTCTGACCTCAGGTAATCCACCTGCCTTGGCCTCCCAAAGTGCTGGGATTACAGGTGTGAGCCACCATGCCTGGCCAATCTATGTTATCTTTAAAAGAAGAGGAGAAATAGATCAAGGAAGAGGAGAAAGACCTGGTTCTGTAGATCTGACTCTGCAGTTTGTGTGCTGTGTCATAGAGAAAAGTTAGTGCCCGTTTGGACATGGGCCAAATGACTTTTTGAGTCTCTTGTAGCAGAAATGACCTGGAATCCTGTTTTCTTTCTGATGATGAAGCTGGGCATAGGTATTCTGATGGACACAGCCAAGATATTTAAGCCAGCATTTGCTGAGAAACAGTGAAACTCATTTTCAGACATTCTTCCCCCATGACTGAGAAGTGTTAGGTTTTTGTCCAGCAGCAGTAGCTGTTCATTGCTGTTTTCCTTAGAGAGAAAGGCTTTTTTTTTTTTTTTTTTTTAACATTCTGACACCTTTTTTTTCCCCCTCAGTATCAGCACTGCTCACTAACCACATCATATGGTGATAAGAACTGAAATTACTCATTGACATTATCATGGGGCTATTTTGAAAACATTATCTCATTTCATTTCCTAGAATATCATCAAGTCTCCACAATACCAGTTCCTTAAAGGAGAATGTTTTTGTTCCAACTGAAACCAAAATATTTTAGTGAATTTTGTCTTCAGTATTGCTTCCTTCCTATTCTAATACTGTGGCCAAAAGTATAATTTTTGGCAAACTCTTTGCCATAGCAGAATTTGACCTAGTTTGCTGAATTTGAAGTTAGCTGTTTTCAGTAATTTCTTTTTTTTTTTTTTTTTTTTTTTGAGATGGAGTCTTGCTCAGTCCCGCAGGTTGGACTTCAGTGGTGTGATTTCGGCTTACTGCAACTACTGTCTCCTGGGTTCAAGCAATTCTCCTGTCTCAGCCTCCCGAGTAGCTGGGATTACAGGCACCCGCCATCATGCTCGGCTAATTTTTGTATTTTAGTAAAGACGGATTTCTCCATGTTGGCCAGGCTGGTCTTGCACTCTTGACCTCAGGTGATCCACCTGCCTCAGCCTTCCAAAGTGCTGGGATTACAGGCTTGAGCCACTGTACCAGGCCTGTTTTCAGTAATGTATCTTTACACTTTATGTAGATCATCTGTGTTGCAGATTACTTATTGTAATTTTCAAATCCTGGACTGAATTTCTTTCATCATTACCTGTGGATTTGTCATCTCTTTCCTCATCCCCACCCTCTATTCAGGTACCATGTAACCAGGCAGTTAGATGAAGCATTGTTTCATAGCTGAATCCACCACATATTTTTTTAATATATATATTCCCAAAGGTATACAAATAGTTTTCATATTGTTGGAGAGTTTGACTTGTTTCCACTAATGTAGAAAAATAGTTGTTTAATAATTAGACACTCCTTTTGTTTGATCTTGAATCCTTTTTCATGAGACCAGATGAAGTGAGTATTCATTAATGGTCCTATGAAATAATTATTTTAAATACTTTTAACCAGTTCCAGTTTTTTTTTTTTTTGACTTTTCTGATGTATTTATCATTCATGCATTCACTGACCATTTACACCATTTTTATACTGCTCTCTAAACTGCTATATTCAAAGCTAATTGTAGGCAACATCCTTAAATACAGTTAAAGCAATAATAGTTCAGGGGGACGAGTGTTAGCAGCATTTTAGGATATTCGGAGAAAAAGGTACAGTAAGACATCTTAGAGTTTCTAGGAGGCCCAGGGACTTGTTGGCTAATGTTTCAACCGTAAGAACTTGTTTCAGCAACAGTCTTGGCCCTACTACATGAGTCATAAACACCAGGATAGGCAATGCCTTCAGCCAGATGCAATGGAAAAGGGTTTGTTAACATGGAAAATATGGGATGGCTATACCACATACGTCACTAAGACTTCCAGAACTGAGTCTTTTAGACCCATTAATTACTTTTTGAGTGAATTAATGTATATAAGCAAACACTTTTAGGATGTTGCTAGCATTATTAGTCAATGATCAGAATTCCTTGCCAGACAGATTAAGACCGAGACCAGCTAGTTAATGAATTTACTGAAAGGCTCATTTATAAGACTGCTTTACAGGGAATTTAGCAATAAACAATTCTGCCAACTCTTGATCTTTCAGCTATAGCCTTTCTTCCTGTATTTCTTTGGAATAACACATAATTAACATACAGCGATCAAGTTTTTGCTTGTCATTTAATATAGCACATTTTTTCTTTTGTGTTTTAGTATGTTTGCATATCAAGCAATGCTTTTAAAGCTTATGCAAGGGTTGTATTTTGGACTCTATTTCTTGATAATTTTTCATATCATCCTGCTGGGTAGAGACAGTGTGGGAAGAAATGCAGAGATTTTTATTGAATACTACCTTGTTTTTAGATGGTGTTTAATGTTTAATATGTTGGGTCTGCTCATTTAGGAGGAAAAAGTATTCTTTGGATTTTCTTTTGCATAGGTTATTTTAGTTGCCAGTCTTTTCTGTGTCTGAAGGGTCCAAAATGCCTGATAAAAATAGGTAAATAGCAATGAATGTGATGGTAGGAAAATAGGAATTGATGTTGCTATGAAAGTGTTAATCTCCTATCATCAGTCAATATTCCTGGTTTTAGTGTCACAGGAATTTGACAGCCTCCTCAACTTTAGCCACCTCTCAGAAAATCCTGCTTCTCTTTTGAACAATGACTCCAGGACTGGAAGATGGGTGAGGCATCCACTTAGTGTGTCAACAGTGTGGAAAGGACCATGGTGGAAAGCCGACTAGAAATCCACAGTGCTAGTTAAAGAAAAGAGGACTTTGAAAAGAAGTGAGAATAAGTGTGAACAGTTGACTCCAAGTAGGAAATTAGTGGAGGATGAACTAAATTAAAGTTCGGGATAAGCAAAGAACAAAGGTATATTCTATGGCCAGGAGCCAGGCTGGTTGTGTAGTGAGTGAGGCAGTTTTATTTATTGAGTGTGCATTCACAGAGTGTAGGGGTGTGTGTGTGTGTGTATCTGTGTGTCTGTGTGTGTGATCAAGTCAGCTGCTTTCTCTTTAGCTCCAGTTAGTTGTCAATATGTGGGCCTAATGTTACCGGGTTATCTCACTTTTCAAAAGAAATGGGGAACCTGATATTTTAAAGGATATATGTCAGATTTTTTTTTTTTTTTTTTTTTTTTTTGAGATGGAGTCGTCCTCTGTCACCCAGGCTGGAGTGCCGTGGCGTGATCTCGGCTCATTGCAACCCCCGCCTCCCAGGTTCAAGTGATTCTCTTGCCTCAGCCTCCCAGGTAGTTGGGCTTATAGGCGAGTGCCACCACACCAGGCTAATTTTTGTATTTTTAGTAGAGACGGGATTTCAACATCCTGGCCAGGCTTGTCTTGAACTCCTGACCTTGTGATCCACCCACCTTGGCCTCCCAAAGTGCTGGGGTTACAGGCATGAGCCACTGTGCCTGGCCAATATGTCAGATTTAAAATGTAGCACTACATTAAAAAAACTGTGTGAGCCCAGGTGACTATCTATGAGTTGATAGGACACTTTGGTCACCAGTGGGTCACCTCTATTCAAAGCTGATTTTAGGATTACATGCTTCATGCTGAGAATTGTGCTACTGATTAACTGGGCAACCTCAAAATCACCATCTGAATAATGTGCTCTAAGAAGACTTAGCACATAGGGTTGTTTTGAGAATTAAATAAAATGATTGATAAAAAAGCCTCTGCTACAATGCAAGGCAGTTAATAAGATAATAAGTGTTAGCTGAATTTGAATCAGCAACCTCACATAGTACTGAGGGTTGGGTTGGTCTTTTTCATGTCTACATGCATGACAAGCTTAGGAGGAATAAGTGGTGATTTCTGTTATGTGATTTTTACAATGGCTTCCTCCACAAGTCTCTCTTCACCTTTGTCTGCCAAGATACATATTTGAGATTAACCTTTGCAGCTATAGATAAGTCTCTATTAAATATAAATGCCCCCTGCCTCATGGGTGAGTGGGCATGGAGGTGTAAGGTAGTGGAGATCACATGAATTGCATAGATATAGCTATAGTACCTTGGCAGCCTTCTGCCTCTCCATCCCACAATCTACTCCTTGAGAGACCACTTATCCCTGGAGCTTACTTTCAACCATCAACCAGACACTTAAGACACTTGAGACAATTAGTTATCTGAGTATAACTAGACATAAACCTAGCCCACATCCATGAATCAGGGATGTCAAGGGAAAAAAAGATTTGACTGTTCTTAACTGAAAGTTAGAAAGCATCTAACTTTCCTTTACAGAAAGGTACAGGGAAAACCTGTCTTTGTCTTCCTCAGTTTACATTTCTTACTGGTTTTCCCCCAGTGTTCCCTTCTACTATATCCCTGCTATGACACATATTAGGGAGCTGTTCCTTAGTGTTGGGAAGGTGTCACAAGGCTCTTAGGGCCAGGTAGAGAAGCAACTTCATCTTGCTAGCCAGCTACAGATGTTAGGCTGTCCAGTATCATACATTGAGTAGAATTTAAAGGCTTATGAGATTCAGTGTGGAATGATGTCCCAAACTATTAGTGATGTCTTCCACAGGCCCATGAGTGGAGAGTAGAAACACATGCTAATTCTGTGCCTAGTAAATATAAATATTCACTTAAACTTGATTTAAAAGCAAGGAAAGAAAAGTAAGTTTCCCCGTATCTA